TCTCTAGCTTCAACAGCACAAAGTCTGCTTCGACTATCAAGGTACCCCGGAAATAGCGGGTCACAAGAGTGTGACAAACATACAAAAGAAGTAGAGAAAGAATGACGATAGTAAGGATGAGGAAAGAAAAAGCAGCAGTTCCCCCTATGTTGTTCTGGCACAGTATGAGCAAGCCATTGATAAATCAGCCCATTTGCAATCTATTGTGCATAAGAACAAGTTAATATCCCCTCCCCCTTTGGGAATGGCCTAAAGACACTTCAGTCAGCTGCACTGCCCTTGGGGGGGGGGGGGGGCGTATAAGTTTGTTTGTTTTAGTAAAGGTTTTACGGCACTCGCAACTGCCTAAGGTCATATGAGCACCAAGGAGTGGATGTCAACAGAGAAGTCCTTACAGTACAGGGAATCAGACTCACTCTGCTCACCACTCTAGCTTCAACAGCACAAACTCTGCTTCGACTATCAAGGCACCCCGAAAATAGCGGGTCACAAAAGTGTGACAAACATACAACAGAAGTAGAGGAAAATGACGATAGTAAGGATTTGGAAAGAAAAAGCAACAGTTCCCTGTTGTAGTTCAGGCACAGTTATGAGGATGACATTGTTGGATCAGCTTATTTACAATTATAATTCTCTTGAGCATAAGAACATGTTAATGTCACCCCTTTTTGGAATGGCCCAAAGACACTTCAGTCAGTAGCACTGTCCGTGGGGGGAGGGGGGTATATAGGTTTAACGCCCATATCAACACTATACGGTCACTGAAGAAGCGGGCCTCCGAGGTTTAACGTCCTACTCCGAAGGGACCGAGCCAAGTGGCAAGTTCGTGTAAGGTGCCTTTCCCAAGGACACAACGTCAGAACTAGCTGAGGCTAGAACCCCCGAACCCGTAGTCTCACGATAACGAGCCCGGTAGCCTAACCACTAGACTACTGGCACCGCCTATGGGAGAATAACATTATGCACATAGACACAATAGCGGTCGTTTAGTGGTGGGGAAAAGTAAGACAGACAGAAACAACACAGGGAAAGCAAATACATAGGACCCACCATCCTCACCTTGGACTTTTAAAAAATTGTTTGAGTAAAGAGAAGCACATCGACACAATAATGGTCATTATTTAATGCTGGGAAAAAGTAAGGCAGATTGCCAGAAATAAACAGAGGGAAAATAAAGAAATAGGACCCACCAGGTCCGACTTTCGCTTTTTGAGGACGTACCAAACACATAATAATTAATATAACAAATCTGCTCAGCAGCAGAGCGGACCAATAAAAACGTTGCAACACATTCCAAACCATGATACAAATCAGAGAAACACTGTTTTTTGTTTTAGTAAGCGTTTTACGGCACTTGCAACACAAAAAGGTCATAAGTGCCGACGATTAGAGGTGTTACAAGAGAGTAACAAAACATAAAAAGGGGGGGGGGGGGGGAAAA